GGGTTTCACCATGTTGACCAGGATGGTCTTGATCTCTTGACCTCGTGATCCACCCGCCTCGGCCTCCCAAAGTGCTGGGATTACAGGCTTGAGCCACCGCGCCCGGCCAATCTACCTAATTTTTAAGATACTACACCTTCATTTATAGTGATTCTTGTATCTTTCTAATCCAAAAGAGAAGATAACTCATGAAATATGAACACTGTTGTTTTTCCTGGCCCAGCAAAGATTTTGATTAGAAAGGCAAACTTAGAAAGATGGCATTTCTGGATAGGTGCAGCGGTTCACACCTGTAATCCCAGCACTTTGGGAGGCTGAGATGGGTGGGTCACTTGAAGTCAGGAGTTCAACCTAGCCAACAAGGTGAAACCCCATCCCTACTAAAAATACAAAAATTAGCTGGGCGTGATGGCACATGCCTGTAATCCTAGTTACTCAGGAGGCTAAAGCAGGAGAATCACTTGAACCCAGGAAATGGAGGCTGCAGTGAGGGAAGACTGTGGCACTGCACTCCAGCCTGGTTGACAGAGTGAGACTCCGTCTAAAAAAAATAAATAAATGAATAAAATTTTTAAAAATTATCTTACTAGTTTTATGTATTATTTTTGTGTCAGATTTTCCAGGTGCCCTGATCCTGTTAACATCATCATTTCCTTACCTCTTATTTATCTTTTGTAAATATAACCACAAAGAGACCAAAAACTACAGTGATCTAGAGCAAAAGCTCTGAGGTCCAAATCCCTGTATTCCCAACTTGTCCACTTATAGCTGTGTAACCCTGGACAATTACTTTGCCTACCCCTCTAATTCTCAGCTCTTCATCTACGAGATCGAGCTAACAGCATTTTTAAAAATATGGTTCTTAAGAAGATAACTCAGTGAGTTAATATATATTAAGTATTCAACAGTGTGTATTAAATGTTTGATAAATGTTAGCAATGAACATTATTATTACATTAGTCAAGTACTTCTTCAAATACCAATTCCTCTGCTAGGTATCCCTAAGCATTTATCATATCATTCATAAATGATATGTGGTTATATTTTAGAAAGAAAAATAAACAGCAGGTAAGGAAACGACAGCATTAACAGGATCAGGACACCTAGAAAATCTGACATAAAAATAAGACATAAAGCCATCATATCATTCATTATTTATCATATCATTCATAAATACTACTTTCTTCACAGAATTTTTATAGCACTTACTGCCTATAATTATCAAAATGCCCTTATAAGAGCTTATGTTATCTTCCCACGGTAATGTCTTTTTTTTTTTTTTTTTTTTTTTTTTT